TGATGACAGCTATTTGGTGAGGGAACCCTTTCTCGGAAAAGAAGCCTGTCTTTTTCAAAGTGGAACCACAGTGTTCCCGATGAAACCACTAATGACAGTGAATGCCGTGAAGACAAGACTTGTGGCTCACTAGAGTTGGCAAATGGAGAAAAAAGTGATAATGTCTCTGAGAGCTCCATGGTGGATTCTGTTTCAAGCTTGGATATCTCTCCTGATGATGTTGTGGGAATAATAGGTCAGAAGCGTTTCTGGAAAGCAAGGAGAGCAATTGTTAAGTAAGTGATCATTGCTAAGTATTTTGTCTTGGATTTATTTTGCTTTTTCTGTTTCTTTATGGGGGTACTTCTTTCTCCTTTTAATACTGAATTCATATCATCTAGTTGTGCCAGTACATATTGAGAATGGTAGAATGAAAAGAATGCATTTGAAACATGAAACTCTCTAGGTCCCTTACGAGGAGGGGTGGAACAAGAGCTCTAGTCTAGTGTATGTTAGGTTAGATGATTCAATGTGATGTTTCAGGAAACATCGCATGGTCCAATGGTGAATCATTTCCTTGATATTTGATAAAATGCAGGTAGTATTCTTGTAATCGGTCAATTTAGGAACCGGTGCTTCATTGACCTTGAAGCAATTTTATAAATCGGTCTATTGGCATAGAAAGATATGCAATGTTTTCATGAAAATTTATTTGAATTTATCTATTACAATTAGTTTAAATGTGATTATATGTTCTGAGGTTTGTCCTATTGTAATATCTCTTGTTACAGTATTAAGCTGTAGCTTCTACTCCCATGGTTGTTATTTAGTGGAAATAGAAGCACTGCTTTTACTCATTATGAAAGTTATACAATTAGAAATAGCTGTAAATATATATTGACTAGGATCATTATTTCTAGATATTATCACATGTTAAAGTTTACTTTAGTGTGCCGTATGCAATTTGGATTACTGATAGTAGGAATATAGAATAAATGCTATATTGTGGAACATAGTAGATATGGCTTTGAAGGAGGGAGAAGTAATGATCTGGAGTTCTTATCAAAGTGGCATCTTTCTTTGTTTAGAGCCCCTCAGTTTCGTATTAACCGTGGGTCATCTTCTAGCAGGGAGATGGCTATTTTAAGTTCTGTTCATCTTCATTTGAGATGTATTCTTTTCTCGAGTTGGTGCCACTTTATTTACCTTTTATCCTGAGGTCATGAGCAGGAGGACGAGCAATGGAGAACTATCCCTGGAGCTAATGTTGGGTGGACCTCAGAGGAGGGTAATGGAGGATTAATGCATGTCGCTTTGTCTTTGGTTTTATTGTACTGAAGTTAATGTTCTTATTTGGCTGCTTCAAAGATGCCATTCAAGAATTTTTCTGATTGACATTTATAACTGCCTTCAGGTTGATTATTATGGTGTTTTCTATGATATAATACTAGCATATCTGTTTGCACGATATTACCTTCTGTTTGTTAGATTTTGCTTTAGAACCATCTAATTGCTATGAAGTGCACAAGGAATGTGGTAAAAAACGATGTTACTTTAGAAAGTTTTAACCAATGAAGATATTGTCTCAAAAGAGTTGCAAACCACCCCTCCCCAAAGCATAGAACAAAGATTTGAGTACTGTGTGCACATATGAAGCAATTGTTGTCTGTGTAATGATTTTTTTCAAAACTGTACCCATATGATGCTTTAAAGCATTATTGTGATGAGATTTTGGATGTTATTTGTCTGTCATAACTGTATTACTATGACCTGTGCAACTTTGTCTCGATAAACTCTTGTTATTCTCTACAGTCAACGAAGAGTATTTGCAGTACAAGTGTTTGAGTTACATAGGCTGATTAAGGTGAGGTCTAAGGTGATCCTGGAACTTGTTTATTAATTTCTGCTGGTACACACATACACGTAAAGACACCTGTATATATACAGTTAAAATACTTGATACTTTGCGTTGAAACAGGTTCAGAGACTAATTGCCGGATCGCCACATCTCTTGCTCGAGGGTGTGGCATATCTGGGCAAACCATCTTTAAATGACTCTTCTGCAAAGAAGCTTCCACCAGAGTTGATTGTAAAGCCACTGCCACAAAATAAGCGCAAAGATGACACCGAGAAGCTAAGTCGGAAAATGGAATGTTCAGCAGAGAATGTGGTCGGTTGGACATCCCTCTCTTCTGTGAAAAATGGTAGTCAGCCTTCAAATTACGGGCCTTTCCTCGGAAATCCACCCCTTTCAGCTGCTAATGGTGATAACAAAATGAATCCTTGGTGTTTCAATCAAATGCTAGAGCAACAGTGGTTGGTCCCTGTCATGTCCCCCTCCGAAGGTCTGATATACAAGCCCTATCCTGTACCTGGATTATTAATGGGATCTGTTTGTGGAGGCTGCGGACCTTATGGACAAACTCCAATGATTGGCAACTTTATGGCTTCAGCTTACGGTGGTCAGGCTCCTCCTCATCAGGGACATGGGATTCTCCCCGGTGCTCCTTTATCCGGTCACTCATACTTCCCTCCATATGGGATGCCAGTCATGAACCCAGCACTCTCAGGTTCTGCTATGGAACAAATGAACCAATTTTCCGTACCGGGTTCCCATGCCCCAAGTGGTCAGGTATCTGCAAGTGGAGCTAACTTTTACGTACAGCATCAAAATTCATGTAATATGCCTAGCAAAAACAACACGAAGTTTCAGGCATCTAAAGATACCGAGCAAGAACGGTGTACAGCAAGCAGTCCTGGTGAGAGAGCAGAGAAAAACAGAACCGGTAGTACTGCGGAAGGTAAAAACGCACCTCCACTTCTCCCTACAGGTCAAGCCATTCAAGATGGAGCCTTGCAGCCTCGTGATACTGACAGGAGGACAAGAGTCATTCGAGTCGTGCCTCATAATCCAAGATCAGCCACCGAATCGGTGGCTCGTATTTTCCAATCTATACAAAGGGAGAGGAAGCTGTGTGACTAAACAAACAATTGCTGGTAAGTGATCTTGGACTCCATAGACCTAGGTGTGCTGCTTGATGATCATTATTATCTCTAGTAACTGTAAACTTTTCTTTACATGTCTTGTGGTTTATTCATATGTAGATATATGTTTGAAAGATTACAAGTCAATGGAATATGAATTTTGTTGTGTCTCTTCATTTTATGAGAATGATAAGCTTCTGGATCATAATGATTGTATCTTTGATGACTTATGTTCGTTTCCATATCTCTGTTAGATTATCGATTTTAATCTTTGAATTTCATAAATTGTATTAATGTTGTCTTTTGACCAACAAAAATTATCTTGAACCGATACGATATTAAAGTGTCAGTTAATTGTGTTTGTATAATAGTTTTGTGTAAATATAATATAAAATGGAATTTGTATATTATTGAAAATTAAAAATTATTAAAAATTAAGTAAAAATTTTATATCAAAAGTTATAAAACAATAAATTAAATATTATTAAAATTTAAAAATGATCAGGGTTTCAAATTACAGATCGAAAACGTGATAGCGGCCGTGATTTTGCGGTAGTGTCGCAGTTCGAAACTGATTTTCATGTTTTTTACGGTGGGTAACGGATTTATACCAATAACGGTATGTCACACCTACAATTTAACGGGTAACGGTGGATTGCGCACATCACGGGACACTCACTATAAGCGTTATCCAATTGTGATTTTAACCGTAATTTTTTTTGTTTCAAAAAATGAAAGGTCGGGAGAGGAGGAAGGGGGAGTTGAGAGTGAAAACAAATTTTGTTTTCAGACAATGAAATTGGGGGGAAGGAAGGGGAGGGGGAGTTGGTTTATTTTTTAAAATATTTTTTAAAATATAATTTTAAATGATATATTAATTTGACATTTCTCCCACTTTTAAAATTTATAATCTAATCCCTAGTTTAAAATATAAACTTTAATTTAGTCTTAATTTCAATAATTTAAATTTTTGCAATTTAAATTTTATAATTTTATTTTAATTAGATTTAATTTAGTCATTTTAGATAAGTTGTGCGACATTTAAAAAAAATCAGGACCGCGATACCCGCAATGACATCCATTATATCCGCAATCGTGCTATATACAACATTACCGAAAATATGACCTCAAAAACTATTTAAATCCCTAAAAATGACATAAAATAGTAAAATAATAATTTGTTTTTGTTTTTCCAATAATTTTAAGAAGTATAAAACTAATCATGAATATATATATTTGAAACCTTATCCAGACACGAAAATATCTCTCTTTCCTTCCTTTTTGTCTAAAAAAGCATTTAAACGATTGTACCTTTTTAACGGAAATAGAGAAAGTAAAGGTCATGAGATCTCACGTGAGATTTTTTTCTTTTCTTTTTTTAAATCCGGAATAAATACAGGGTAAATAATATATTAAGTATCTAAACTATTAATTTTAATATATTTTAATACTTAAACTATTAATTTTAATCAATTTTAATACCTAAAATATTATTTTTATTTTATTGTAGTACTCCACCATTAAGTTTTGAAAAAAATAAAAAGTTAGGTACAAAAACATGTTTAATACTTAAATTATACTTGAGTTTTGAAAGAAAATGAAACTTTAAGTACTAAAACGAATCAAAAATGATAATTTAAGTACTAAACACGTTAAGTTTTTAATGACAGAATTTTAAAATGAAACAAAAAGTAAACTTTATATATTATTTTGAAAAAAATGTAAGTTTAAGTATTAAAAATATCAAAATTAATAGTTTAAGTACTAAATACATAATTTATCATAAATATAAAATATTATTTATTCAAAGGTTTTAAATACTTTAATAATAAAGGTTCATATACTCGAATATTCGATACTTGAAGTCAAAACTTCAAAAGATAACAATAAATCTCTTAATCATTAAAACACTTAGTTTAAAATCCGAAAAATCAAATTACGAGTTTAAAATTAATTTCATTTCAAATTATTGGTTTATTATGATTAATTTCAGATTCCTACCAGAATTAACAAGTCTACCAAAAGTAGAAATAGAATGTAGCAGATAAAGATTTAGGGTTAAATTTTAATTCTTTTTTCATTCATCTCAAAGATGAAAAGGGTCTTCATTTACACCACTTCAAATCCTTTCTCCCTCCTCCTACAAAAGAGAGCAACTTACCCTTAAACACTCCATCAGCCAATACTCAAACCCAACTTGACTTTTTATTCCGAATCCGATTCCATATTAGTATTTCCCATTGCCTTCAATCCTCTTGGACTCTGAAAACATTAGAAAAATATTCAAAATTTGAGTTCCAACAAAATGATTATTTTTGTTTAAAATATGGGTGCCGGCCAATAAAATTTTATGTTATCTGATTCGGATTGCTAAGCTAACATATCAAATACCGATTGGATAATATGAATGATTTTAATCCAAGTAGAATTGTACTGATTTGATACCTTCTTTGAGATTTTCTTCTCCCTGACCTCGTATCGATCGAGGGTTAAATCACATAGCCACGCCCCCGGACTTACCAACTGCACAAAAAGAAAATCTTCCATTAAAATTTCAGTGTCTGATTTATTAATCGAATTAGATATTACCTAAATTGTACCATGATTTGGAAAGACAAGGGGGAAAAGGAATAATAGTTGGTGCTTTGTGTTTTTTATGCATCACAACGTGGTCCACCCTGGCAAGACAAATTATTCAACCATGACAAAAAGTAAACCCTACAATAATAGCGTATTTACATAAATGCCCTCCCGACAACGAGGTGTCTCGGCCAATTCAAACCGGTTCGAAGGTTCAAGTCTTCCTAAATAATAAGAAACCCATCTAACCGTTTTTAATTTATTTTATTATTTTATAAGAAAATATCTATATGGTTATGGGTCACAGCCTTTGCAGTCAGTCCTCATCCACTCATTGAATGACACGTACACGATTATGTTACACTCACTGTCACTTTACCTCTCTAAAAAGGTTTTCTTTTTCTCTTTTTTTCGTAGGAAATTGAGGAAGCCATTATTTGACGTAAAATTCACGGGTAGTAGTTCTCTACATCATCTATAAGACTATTTCCCAAATCCAAATAGTAAATTAGTTTATATTTTCAAATCAAAATCTGCTCTAATATAATGACTAAATACTCGATTCAATTTTCAAATCATGATTCAATTCAAGGAAAAGAGTAAGAGGGACTTACGTTGAGCGTCCGTTGAATAAATTTCGCTCGCTTTTTGGGTCTTTGTGGCAGCTTAGATCCTTTGATGGCCATGAAATCCTCTTCCTTCTCTTTATTCGTCAAAGCAATCACGAATTTCGGTGGCCAAACGATGGGCGCAGTAGCAGCTGCTGCCTCGCCGCTTCCTGAAGAGGAGCCTCCCTTTTTGCTATCATGAGCCATGTCAGAAGATGCCGCTGATTTGTTGTTGTTGTGGCTGCTGCTACGGTGGTGGTGGTGGTGGTTATTGTTATTGTTATGGTTGTTACCACCCACTCTCTTATCGTGCGCACCCCTATCTGGTGAAGAGAATCCCCTTACAGCTCCGTTGCTTTGGCCTCTCATAGCACCGGAATTCTCAGAGTTCCTGGAAAAACATTAACAAAACAAATTCACATATAAGAATCATAAGGTAAAAAATAAAATTAAAAAAAATGATTTGCGGTAAGTTTTAGAAAGTAAATAAAAAAAACGTTTAGCTGTAAATTTCGAATTTACAAATATAACCTCGGGAGTAATCTATAATACTTAAATGGTGAGACTATGAGATTTTGGGTTTTAAATAAGAGTTGTTAAAGTTATGGAGAGGATAGAAAAGAGTGGGTCTAAAAGGAACGCAGGTGGTTTTTTGGCCGTTGGATTAAATCCATTTTTTTCCTTTACGGTGGATTAAGGTTACGTGTTGAAGTATGTATGGGCTGAAGAGGTTTGGTGATGTAGGCATGTGGTCCAAGGACCCCACGGATACACATGGCTGGGATCAGGTGGTGTAAGGTGCAGAGACATCAAACAAGAGGAACAACAATTGTCAAGTGTCAAGTAACTCAACCAGTATAAGCAACATCCACTACTAAACATTAGTAGGCACCAAAAGAGTTAAAAACAAAAAAATTCTCAAAAGAAAATACAATAATTCAAATTTTCTCTTGACAAACAATCTTAATCCATCATCAATATATGACGATAGATTAAGATCATGTCTAAGAAAAATTAAAAGTTTGATGATAGATTAAAACTGCTCGTGCGACATAAAAATCTCGATCAATATACCAAACAATAATACTAACACAATAATTTAACATGTTGCTTTGCTAAAAGATCTTAGGGAATATAATATGTTCTATTAAAGGAAGATATAATCACTAAACTAGACCTACCAAAAACAATAAGAACCCTAAACACGTTAGCATCAAAGGAAAAAAACTACAAGAAGTTCTAAAAAAAACACACAATAATTAAAAAAAAAAATCCAAATGATCTTAATCTATTGTCATATATGAGGACAAATAAGATCACTTTCGAAGGAAAAAACTAATTGTATGACGACAGACTAAGATCACTTTTGAAGAAAAAAACAAATAGTATGACGATAGATTAAAACCATTTGCGAGAAACAAAAAGCTCAATCAGTATATCAAATAATAATCCTAATGAAAGCTAGAACCATCTTCTTCTTGTTTACCATGTTGCTTTGCTAAAGGATTTACTATATAATCACTAAATTAGATCTACCAAAAAACAATAAGAACCCTAAACACAGAAGGCGCCATTTCCATAAACTCACCATGAGTTTTCTTTTATCCTCCAGAACCATACACTGGCGCCCACCTGACCAATTGGAGAGTGCACAAAACTAATCCATCCCTGAATATGCATCAATCATATAATGTTATTTTTATAGAGAAAGAGGCCCATTAAATGCATTCACCAACTAGTCGACAGGCCCATCTGGAAACATCTAATCTAAATTCGTGTAGGTTCTAGGAGTGTGGCAATGGCAGCCAAGTGTGAAAGCTTATCCATTCTTAGAACAAACCTCTCCACTACTAGGGAAAAAAAAGTAAAATCAATATTTTAGCCAACCTTTGATCAGATCCAGCTACTTATGCCCTCAAAAACATTGAGAATCTTTCTAGCAAGATCAGGAATGGCAATAGAGCCGAGAACCGGAATGAAAGCGGAGATCGCTTTATCCAACTCTGCACAAATTGGCATATCCGTAAATATTCATAACCTCTTCACACTTTTTTTACGGTCACTTCATCTCTTCTATTAATACATTCGATATTAGAAAATATATATATATATAATATATTGATCATACTTTTGTATATTATAGTTTATTTATATATTTATAGATGTATAAAAGACTACTAATCTGAATCCAACCCTCACTATAAGAATAATCTTCTCGATCTCATTTTTTTCTGTTAACAACGTCAAAATTTAAACTTTAAACCTGAAAATGATGAGATCTAAAGATTAATTCAATTATTTATTCTTAAATTATGACTCTTATTTTAAATAAATCTTTAAATTTTAATATATTTTAATTCCATCATTAAACTGTAACTCTAAATTTAAATTAGTACTCAAAACTTTTGAACATTTTAATTTTATTTCTAAACTATGAAAATCAATCTAAATTGATATCTAAACTTTTATATCTTTCAATTTCATTCCTAAACCTAAATTTTAATTTTTAAAACATATAATTATATAAAAATATATAATTTTATTTATTAATATGAGATGTGATTAACATATATCTATAGTTGGAAATGAAATTAGAATATTTAAAAAATTAAATAATAATTTCAGAATAAATTAAAAATTTTAAAACTATTTTATAATTTAAAATAAAAATTATAATTTTAAAACATGTGATGAAAGTAACTCGGATCTAAATCTTTAAAGTACTTTATCTCCCAATTGGAACAAAACACCTAACGCAAAAACGAGTGACACAATAAAACCAGACATAAAAAACGAACCGAAACCATCCGGTATTACCCCATCAGAAGGGAGCGTATGATACACGCGCCCAAAAGAAATGTAAAGACGTCAATTTTTTAGTACCTGAGAAAGCGCTGAGGTGGCGGAGCTTGAGGGGAAGCAGGCCGTTGACGGAGGTTAAAATACCCGTTCCCGTGATTATTATTGCTTGGCTGATTCGAAGAGTCCTTTTCGGCCCTCACAACTCGGCGGTCGACTCGAACCGTGGTTCGATTGACCGGTCCAGAATGATCGCCTTTGACTTGGAACTTCATACATCGCAGACGTTTCCGATTTCCCCATTGCAAAACGAAATCAGAAGACGACAACGTTTGCTTGGTCGGATCCGAGCTGGATCTTAACATTCCGCCGTTGACTCCGGCTCCGGCAGTTCTATCTCGGCTGTAGTTGGTGCTATTGCCGTTACCATTGTTATTGTTGTTTCTTAACGAGTCCTTCTCCATTCTTTTGTGTACACCTGTACCATCAAGAGAGAAAAATAAATTTTAATTTTGGAAAAAGCTTTTGATTCAATTTCAGAAATAAAGTGAAAGCGCCGATAAGGAAAAGAAAAAGATGAGATTAGGAGAATTAGGAAAAGAAAATTTCCGGGAAAAATAAAATAAAGAAGAGAAAGCAGCCAAACACTGGCGAAAAGTCGAAGATTAGTTAAGGAAGTATACGAAGAGAGATGGAAGAAACAAAGAAAGTGAAGCTGTCTTTGGTCGTAGTTCTTATTACCTGAGAAAATCACAGATTCAACATTCTTTAAACTATTAAACAAAAAATCAAAACGCTTTTTACAAGTGTTTTTCGGTTTTGACTTCCTCTAGGTTTCCTGGTAACCAAACGGGAAGTTATTGGCTACGCAGAAACGAGATTAGAAAAAAATGGAAAAAATCAACAGGATCGGGGAAACGTCAGAGCAAAAGAAATAAAAAAGTTTCTCAGTGGAGAATTAAGGAAGCGAAAATTAAAAACCAAACAAAATTTTCAATAAGAGGAAAATCTTAGCGGAACAGATCAAGTTCTTCATAAAATAGTTTGGAAATTTCCATTGAAACTTGTAATTCAAACTCCGAGAAAACGAAAACAAAATGAACAATACTTCCAAAGTGAAATTAAAATCTGAGATGTAACATTCTAGGAAAAACCAACTCTGTCAATCAAATCGAAGCTTGAGAAAACCAATTGGAAGAACAATGAGCGTTCTGGAAAAAATAAGAGGCTGAGGAGACGAAAACAACAACTCTTTTAAACAAAAAGTTTGGCGTATCAACGGCGACTCAATTATGTTGAGGTGGATTTAGAATCGGTATTCAGATGCTCAGATTCCTGATCTTATCTCATACCTGAAATCACTAAGCCTTAGCCGTTACAACTTTGCTTTAGTCTTAATGGTATAAACACAAGTTTACTTTGGATTTCAACAAAATAATGGCATTTGCAGCCTATTCTCCAGACTCATTCTAATCCTTTGAATATGACAGCAATTGATCTGCCAATCCGCAGATGAATTCGGTCCAAATTTCTCCAGAAAGAAGCTCTGTTATCTTCCAAATGTTTCTGTCAACCAAAAACAAAAACAAAATTATCTCCAAAGAAGAACATGGCGATAGTTCCAAATCTCTTGAACTTTGTTCACGGGCTTCTTTTTCCTTACAGATTCTCAGAAACTTCAACGAAATAAAAGAAATCTTCATGATTGGTTATCAGAACCACCAAAAACTTTCCTCCAATCTCTTCAATTGTTTCTGCAGAAAAGGCATAAAAAAACGAAATTTGTTGTTGACAGAGTTATCCATTGAATATAGACCAACGAGAATTCATCAGAATAAATCAAAATAGAAACAATCCCTGCTCTCGTATTATACACACCTCTAACAATTCCTCAAATTCTTCTCTCCTCCTCCCTCCCTCCCTTTCTCTCTCTCTCTCTCTCTCCTTTGTTCCGCTCGCTTCGTTCAGAAATTATATCCTCGACATTTATTTATATAAATTAACGCCAGTTTTTTTTTCTCGGGAATTTTCTGTTTGGTTCACGAGAAAGAAGAAGAAAGTAGAAGCATATCAGCAAAGAAGAAGAAAATGAAATTAAACAAAGAAATCATGAAACGAAATGCGCTCTTCCCTTCTGAATACCATTTCTTATACCTCTTCTCACCCTCCGTTACACTACAAAAGGTTTCTTCACCGAGAAATCCAAACCGTTCATCATTAATCCAACGGTTCTTATTGCATACCCTAAATTCGAACAAATAACTCCGTCTATCTTACAACTCCCGTTACGGGATTTTCTTACGTCAAATTGTAGAAAAAAAGTCTTTGTCTTATATGAATTTTCGAATTTAGGATAATTTAATAAATTTTAATATTTTTAATATGATAATAATATAGTATCTATGTTCGATTTTAAATATGATTAAAGTCGTTAGTTTAATTTGTTATTTATATATTATTTTGATTAAAATTATAAGTTTACATGTATAATAAAACATGTTATAAGATAATAAAATAAAGGTTAAAATTATAATTTTAGTTTTAAAATAAATCAGATACATACACATGATTTTATTTCATAAAGCATTAATTTTTAAAAGTTTATATTAAAAATTTAAAGATATAAAATTATATTATCAATAAAAATATCTAAATTATATGATTATTGAATAAGGATTGTGATCCCCTAATATCGCTCGATCCAATTTTTTAAACGTAAAATTTTTATTTTTTATATTTAATTTAAAATATATTTTTAAAAATATATCTTCTTCAAAAAAATTATCTATTTAACATTGTTAATAACTCTAAAAGTATTTTTTTTACTCTCAAAACGTAATAATAAATGGAGGCTAAATAATTAAAAATACATAATATAAGGACCTTCTATACAAATTGACCATGTTCTTGTCCCTTACTACTCTTAACTTTAACTCACGGCGTTAAAAGATCTAGCGGAATCTTCAAACAACGGAGGAATAATATATTTATTTAATTTTTCTAAAATAATTATTATTTTTTGTTTTATTTTAATTTTGTCTCTGCTGGGTGAGGTGGTGCTTAGCACAACCGCGCAACAAAGCTAACTATAGTTAGTTAAGAAAACCCTGGTTAATTGACTATGGTTAACTGTGTCCGGGTCGCCGGACCCGAATCCCTTCAACTTGTCGCTTGTAGGACAATTCCGTAACTCTTGGCTGACTTCTGAATCAAAGAGTAATTGTGCTTTCCCGACTTTATTATACTTTGTCTTTCATTATTTTACATTTTCTTTAATTTTTAATATTATCTAAATGTCTAGAGAAAGTTCAAGGAAATGTACCTACTTTATATATATTTTTTTGGTAAATTATATGTTTAGTACCTAAACTATCAGTTTTTATTTGTTTTAATATCTAAACTTTTAATTTTTTTCAAAATCATACCTAATATTTAGTTTTTATCATTTTAGTACCTCGTCGTTAAAAATTTAATGGACGGGCTGAAAGGACATAGCTCCGGTGGACGGACGATCATTCCGAAATGTGGAGCATAAGAGAATGACGAGTTGACCAACATAGTCCAATTTCAGGCCCATTGGACTGTTGACAACAGAGATTGGAGGATGAAGAAGTTGAAGAATTGATCGTCGATTTAGGGAGATGGAGGCATTTTATGGTGAGACGGAGGTCGGAATCACGTTCAAGGGGTCGAAAAGGTAAAGTCTGGAAATTTTGAACTTCATCAGCCGACGGAACAATGATCGACTGCTATAGACGCGGATACTAGCAAGCCGTTTAGATACTAAAGTAAAAACTAAATGTTAGGTATGATTTTGAAAAAATTGAAAGTTTAAGTACGAATACGGATCATAACTGATAGTTTAAATACTAAACTCGTAATTTACCTTTTTTATATTTTTTAAACCTTATTGGTAATTTGAAGTTTTAAAATTTATTTATTTAAGAATTTTGAAAAGTTTATTTACTAAAATATTTCGAGAAGTTTTAGAAAAATAAAATCAAATAATAAGTTTTGTTGTTTATGTTTTTAATAGTACGAGGTGATTATAAGATAATATTTAATATTATTTTACAACCCGACAAGATACACACATCTTGCAAATGTAACTATTTGAATCCGAAACTTTAAGAGAGAATAATATTCTATTTAACTATTTAAGCCGTTAGATAAATTCGTTATTATTTATCTTTTTATTTCACCCTTTATGTGTTTACATAAATCAAACATTCTAAAAATGAGAGATTTTAATTTCAGCTTAAAAAATTAGAATAGTTCTATCTTAGTCATTATAAAAAATACGAGAAGGTATATATATATCTGAATATTCTCATAACTTAGAATCAAACCCGATCAATATGAGATAAAAAAGATCATTGTCCAAACTCGACTCGACCCGAATCACACCTCACTTACTGAACTGCCCGTCTCTTGAACAGATCTACTTATAATGTACATGTACATAGGAAAAATGCATTAACACATACATACAACATCATTTAAGTTATGGTCTTTAATAGTTGCTAATGCCGCCGGGTACACTTTTATGCACTGAACCCTTTCTCAAGAGAATCCCAATGACTTTAAGGAATGTCGACTCAAGCTTGCGCAGATGTCTCGGCCATCTTTTCCGTTTGAATTCCGGCATTGCAAATGTTGGCAAAGGAACGCATGTGTTTCAGCCCATACTGTGACAGTGATGCGCATTGCGAGTCGAAGGTTTTCACCCGTGTCGACGAAAAGAGTAAACAGCAGGACCTTTAAAAAACAATGGAAGAGAGGCTGAGAATCAAGGTTAGTACCATTTCCTTAAGGCATTTCCAGTCATCAACAAGAGGTTGACCGGCTGGTCGAAAGGTCTTTAGAACTTCCGAGCCCCTTTCGATTCCGAATAACAGCTGGCCAATCAGTTTAACACTGTTGTCTATATGCATCCTATGAGACATGGCTTCCATAAACTGCTTTCGGGCTTCGACCTTCCTAGCCGAGCCATCGGGTGCTTTGCGATACTGCACAATAGGTTCGAATATAATTTGAGTGATACGGGTTCTAAAACCGGTATGTTCGGCTTTCAAATGTATGGAAATCATTACATTAATTCACAGTAAAAGCATCATATACGATTTAAGAGACATTGATACAGACCTTATCCCAGAAAGAACAAGATCAGCATCATGTTGATTAACAGTTTTTGTAGGCGGCACCAAGGAGTTCTCATAGACAAATGTGAAGTCATCGTTCACCAGATTCGTACCAAAGTATGCGAAGAGATGGTCCTTGATAATCCCTATATCGCCAAATTGCATGATATGAGAACCGTATTCCGAATTGTCGTTGTTAGCCCTCCGTTTCACCTGTAAAAGCCAGCCACATGAAATTTCACAACAAATCCCATTTCTTTCCCAGAAATGAAACTAAGTTGTTCATGCAAAATACGGATTTTAAAAAGGCCTTACGAGTTCGTATTGCTGGTGCAAAGTCTCGGTCCGCAGATTATGTATATCACTGCTCAACAGCAAACAGAAAATTGAACTGCATACCAACAGATGTAACTCAACAAGAATAAGATTTCCTAATTCAAGCCAGATGATACTTTGTGGATAAGAATACATCCACTCAATTTATGTACAACTGTCCCATTTTTTTTGGAAACCGACATAGACAATAAGCTTCAACGTCAAAGATCTTGTAATCCATTGTTCCAATGGGTAAATAGAAAGGACTTATATGTACCTGTCTTCCATCCAAGAAACACTGTACAAGTCTCCTAAGCAGGTCTCATACTCCGGGGGAGGACTAAGGTCCTCTCCGGGACAATAGGTTCCCCAGCTACTCTTGATTGCATTCGACGTCGTGGTTGCATAGATATTCAAACCCTCTGGAAGAAGCCCCTCAAAGATACTTCCAGACTCACAAGCTTCAAGATAGAATACCTACAAAGTTACATGTAGACAAGACATAAAAAACGGAACAAAATCGATCGATAATGATACATCGAAAATCGACATATATTAAAAACACAATTTATCAAGCTTTTATAGGTTCCCATCAAGTGCTTTTTCTTTAGAACATCATTCAATTCATCAGCAAAAATACTAGAAAAGGTAGGCATTCTGGATTAACGCATAATGAATCATGATTCCTTAGGAACTCTACAAATCGATATTTCGTTTCAAGCCAAAAAAACATGCTAGGATCGTCGAGGAGCCAGCTAAAGAGAACTAACCAAGAGCACCAGGACCCCCATGGTCAGAGTAAAAAGTGAAAATATGATCACTGGGGCTACTATCTACAACTTCGCCACTACCACCAGTGATGGCAGATTTGTTTCCAAGGATAGCAGCAAAAAAGTTGTTAACAGTAAAATTTTATCCAGTATAATCCTGCAAAAGAACACAAATTAGGCAATGGTAAGAATCAGAAATTGTAACAGTTTATAATATCTTTAAAAGAAATTTACAAGTAACAAGAAGAACACACCTTTGGAACTCCCTTGTAAACAACATTACCATGAAGACTGTTGATGATGATTCCTTGACTAGGGTTTTCTTCATTGTAGGCAATATCATCATACATAAAAACAATGATATTTTCCTCTTTCAGACCACCATTTCTTAGCACTTGATAAGCATGGCAGACATCAGCCTGAAACAGATGAATTAGCATCCATATGAAAAAAAATTAAAAGACCCATCATTCATTATGTTACGAATTACGAAAAATAACAAGTAATCGATCACAACGTACCGAAACAGA